CCCGTGGAGTGGGAATTCAGCACAGGGTAAACACTGTGAACAAAATAAGTTTGGGTTAATATTTGGGGTTTCTCGAACCTGCTCTTCACCTGAAGAGTGCAAGGAGCCAGGTTTTGCTTTCATCTTGAGCGTGAACATCTGAACAGCTTCTGAACGAGTACAAACCACTACAAGTCAGTGCAATTTTCTCTGTGTATCACATACCTATTGGTACTGTTGTGTCAGTGCTTAAACTGGTGCCAATTAAGAAATCCCCGAGAAGTGCAGGTCTCTCGTACACCCAGGATGGAAACACTGGAATGGGCTGACCAGAATTCTTCTTGTTCTGCTTTTCTCGGAGGATTTTTCGTGTGAGCTCAAGAGGCTGTTGGGAAAAGAGAGAGGGAGAAAGAAGGGAAACAAACCCCCAGGAGACATTCAGAAGGCCAAGAAATTTTTAATTTCAAGCAGAAATTGACTGCAAACTGATGGACTTGAGAACATAAAGTAGAATAGCTGCTGTTTCAGTAGCACAGTGTAGGGTTTAGTTTGCCAGTGCCATTTAGTCTATTGGTCTCAGTGCTGCAGAGGTGATTTTTTTAATACATTTGGCCTTTTCACCAGGGGATACATCAAATAATGCCTGCCCACACTGCTCCTCACCACCCTGGGTGCAAGGGCACACACAGGGGAGCAGGATGGGGACGTGCACAACCATCAGGCAGTGGTTACAGGAAAGCAGCAAACTCCTTCCAGAAGCAGTAAGCACAAACATCCTATTCCAGGGGCACTGAACACCTCTGAACTCAGTGCCAAATGCAATCCAGACAATCCACCCCCAGAGAAAATGATGGAGTTTTTCACTCTCAGTAGGAGTCAGTGAAGGAAGTGAGCTCCTAAAGACTGAAAGACGTTCCACCCCCAGCTCTGGGTCTCTGACATTAAAATAAATGGAGTGCAAGACCAATTATCAGCTGGAGAGGCTTGTGAGATGCACAGCCTACATGAACATTTAGAGCCCCAAGAGCACAAACACAGGGTTTACAAAGGCCATTTCTTAAACTCCACAAATGTGTGTGTGTAATGGGATATGCACAGGCTCAATTTACTTTCCTACTTAAACCCTGTGTGAGTGATCTGCTGGAAGGACCCCAATTTCCTCTACTCCCCAAACAGAAACCGGACTTGTATATGGAGAAATATGAAGTTTGGGTTGGGAGGGACCCCTTCTCCCAGGCAACAAGAGATAGGACAAGGGGAAACAGCCTCAAGCTGTGCCATGGGAGGTTTAGGCTAGATATCAGGAAGAATTTCTTCACTGAAAGAGTGGTTAATCATTGAAACAGGCTCCCCAGGGAAATGGTGGTGTCACCACTTCTGGAAGTGTTCAAAAATGAGCAGATGTGGCACCTGGGGCCACGGTTTAGTGGGCACGGTGGTATTCGGTCCAAGGTTGGACTTGATGGTCTTGGAGGTCTTTTCCAAGATTTTTTATGATCCTGTGATTCTCTTCTTGACAAGAGGCAGGGCACCTCTGCTGCAGTTCAACCTGCTCTAGTGTGACTTTGTTAACTGGCAGAATTGACACAGTTTTGGCTACAAAGGACAGAGCTGCCTGAAAGGGAACACCTCACTTCTCCCACCTTGATGATCCCTGGACCAAAACTGGTCCAAGCAGTAACTCCAATTGCTGAATGACCTCTCTGACAGTGCCAAGTAATCCCAGGGCAGGTGGCACAGCACTTGTGGCACAGGTGACAAAGCACATGGGGCATGAATCACCTTCTCTCTGCAACCTGAAATTTAGGTCCTTGCCTTCACGGGCTGGACAAAACTCCCAGGGACTGGAAACACGGCCTCCCCACCCTCACAGGGAAGAGTTTAACTATGAATTTAACCTTTAAGAACTTGACCTTAACTGACTGAAATAGAAGAAGGCTACTTTTTATTAAGAATTAATCTGATCTGACTAACAAAAAGGAAGATTTTGTGCCCAAAGCTTGGGAAGAGCTCTGTACCTGCTGTGCACTGGAGCTGGCTGTGACACTGCCCAGCTGCTTCCGCAGCTCCTCGAGCTCCTGCAGGGAGATCTTGGAAGTAGATGAGGGGATGGAAAAATTCGTGGTGCTGCTGGTTGCTGCATTTGCTGCGAGTTCTGCCCTTTCTTTAGCATTTTGTTGCAGATAGTGGAGTGTCTGTACGTACACAAAACAGAGAAAAGATTTTGTGAGTGCTGGACAGCACACACTAAGGCAAAAGCCATATGACCATAAGCTTGTTGTGCTGAATCCGACCACAGATCTCTCTGTCCCAGTTTTCCACGGATTATATCAAGAGGAGTGTAATTCTCAGTAGTGCTTTAATAACTCAGTAAATGCTACAACTGGTTATTTGTTGATTTTTATGGATTTCACCATCAGCTGTGCTCAAAATCATTGCATTGCTGCTACTGTTCAACACCCATTTCTAAAGGGAACACCAACCTCTTTGTCTTCAGTGAGTTTTGACAGCAGATAAACTAAAGAATCCAGATGCCTTGTGTTTTTAGACTTCAGCTCATCGTATTTCTTTAAAAAATCTTCAGGAGTTCGAGTAAACTCTGCTATTTTTACCTGTAAAACACCACATTACTATCAATTACAACTAAAATTAAATTGAATTACAGCAAACATGCAGCTCAGGCTACATAGATATGAACTTTCAGACAGAGTTAGCAATTTTCTAGCATTTAAAGCTTGACCGGTGGATGGCTTTTAAAAGCAACAATAAAAAGCAGTATTATGGGCATAAAAGTGTGCCTGGTCATGAGGGAGTTGCAGAGAGTGAGGAGGTCTCCCCTGAGCCTCCTCCTCTCCAGGCTGAGTGCCCCCAGCTCCCTCAGCCTCTCCTCACAGCACTTGTGCTCCAGTCCCTTCCCCAGCCTCGCTGCCCTTCTTTGGACACTCTCCAGCCCCTCCATGTCCTTCCTGAGCTGAGGGCCCAGAACTGGACACAGCACTCCAGGGGTGGCCTCACCAGTGCCCAGTCCAGGGGCAGAATCACTGCCCTGGTCCTGCTGCCACACTGTTCCTGATCCAGGCCAGGATCCATTGACCTTCTTGGCCACCTGGGCACACTCTGGCTCATATTCAGCTGCTGTCACCAGCCTCCCCCGGTCCCTTTCTCTCCAGCCACTCTGTCCCCAGCCTGTGGGGTTGCCGGGGGTTGTTGTGGTCAAAGTGCAGGACCCGGCCCTTGGCCTGGTTGAACCTCATCCCCTTGGAATCAGCCCAACTCTCCAGCCTGTCCAGGTCCCTCTGCAGAGCCCTCCTGCCCTCCAGCAGATCGACACTCCCCCCCAGCTTGGTGACATCTGCAAATGTGCTGATGGTGGACTCGACCCCCTCACCCGGACCATCAGTAATGATATCAAACAGATATTCCCGACAGTCTTCCCGCTTCACACCCGTAACTGCGATTCCAGATGAGATCGCCCTGGGGGGGGTTTCTTTTCCTGCTGGATGACCCGTTATGCCCAGAGAGAGCCGGGAGGGGGTGCTGACCTTGGCGCTGTGGGCCGACACGGTGGTGGTGACGTAGGGCGTGCGGTTCTTCTGCAGCAGGTCGATGTAGACCTCGGCGCCCTCCCCGCCGTGCACCCGCAGCAGGCTCAGCAGCTCGTTCACATCGTGGTGGATCCTGAACTCGTTCATGCTCCCTCCTCGGCCTGCGGGACACAGGGAAAAGCAGGGAGTTGTCCTTCCGTTGTACAAACTGAATGAAAACACGCCCGGCGCACACGATGCTTCCAGCACAGAGATGTTCGGCTGGGATAAGGGAACGCGCCCAGAGGAAGCAAATAAAACCTTGTGGGGCCTGATTTAGCTACACTGGCACAAATCCCACCTCAAACAGGGGTGGGCCAGCAGAGGGATTTTCCAACTGCAAAGGAAAGTCCCTGAGTGGAGGTGGGAAGCCCCGTTTGTGTCCTGACAGCTGGCACTGCTGCTTTCAGCAGCACGGCCACGCTGCTGCTCCTGAACTCCCTCAGAAGCAGTTTTTCCCCCATTTAGCGTCTTTATATTCCACTGCCCACTTTATTACGACCAAGCATCGAATTCTGCAGTTACTTAAATGAGAGTCTGAGTGAGGCATCGTGACAACAACCAAGGAGTTTAATGCAACACCCTGCACAGATTGTACCAGGCAGACACAGTGCAGATCCATGGATCAGGCACACAGACACACACTCTTGGTTTGCCAAGGTCAGGGTATTGTTTAGGCTGGAATGGCTGCGGGTGCGGCGCTGGGAGCGGGATCGCGCCGGGCGGGTCCCGCTGCATCCCACGGCGGATCGCCCGGAGCGGCCCCCGGGCAGCGCCTCAGCCCCAGCCCGCTCCATCTCGGCCCGCTCCATCCTATCCCGTCCCCCTCCATCCCGGTCCGGCCCGCTCCACATCCCATTCCGTCCCGCTCCATCCCGAGCCGTTCCTCTCCAACCCGTCCCGTCCCGCCCCATACCCCATCTCTCCCATATCCCATCCCGTCCCGCTCCATCCCGACCCGTTCCTCTCCATCCCCCCCCGTTCATCTCCGTCCCGTCCCGCCCCACTCCATACCCCATTCTGTGCTGCTTCATCCCGTCCCGTCCCATATCCCATCTCTCCCATATCCCATTCCGTCCCGCTCTATCCCATCCCGTCCCGTCCCGCTCCATCCCGTCCCGTCCCGCTCCATCCCATCCCGTCCCGCTGCATATCCCGTCCCGCTGCATATCCCGTCCCGTCCCGCTCCATCCCATCCCGTCCCGCTGCATATCCCATCCCGTCCCGCTGCATATCCCATCCCGTCCCGCCCCATATCCTATCCCATCCTATGCTACGCTAGTCCCCCTCCCGTCCCGTCCCATCCCTACCTGTCCCGCCCGGAAGTGCCGCCGCGGGCGCCGGGAAGCGCGTCCCTGGCGTTGCGCACGCGCAGTGCCCGCGGTGTCGCCGCTCCGCGCTCCCCGCGCACGCGCAGTGCCCGCCCCGCCGCCCGCCATGGCGGCGCTGCCGCTGCCGCCGGGGCTGCGCCTGCGGCTCCGTGAGGGGATCGCGCAGGACCCCGCCCGGGAGCTCCTCCGGGAGCCCCCTCAGCTCCCCGCTCAGCCCCTGCCGCCCTTCACCTTCTCCCCCCGCCGCCTCCGCCTCGGCCCGCAGCACCCGCTGCTGGAGGTGAGGCTCCCCCCGCAGCAGGGGGCTCGGCGCGGTGTTTTACAGCCCTGCCCGCCCGCCCACGGCCCTCTCTGCTCCTCTCTAGGACGGGGACGTGCACAGGCACCTCTACCTGCAGGGCGTCCTCACCAGCCTCGAGGAGGTGGCCGAGAGACCCAAGTAAGTGAGGCGGGGGCTCGTCAGCACGGCTGCGGGAGAGTCCTGAGCCGTGGGGTCCAGGAATGGTTCGAGTGGGAAGGGACCTTAAAGCTCCTCCAGTTTCACCCCCTGCCATGGGCAGGGACACCTTCCACTGTCCCAGGTTGTTCCGAGCCCCGTCCAGCCTGGCCTTGAACTGATCTTGGACATCCTCAAGCTCTCTGGGCAACTGCAGCCGGGGCAGCTCCAACTAGGAGGGCTAAGAATCTTTGCCTTGCTCTTGTATGTAAAATCGAGGAAGTACTTGGAGTGTTGTGTGAGGTTTTCCAGTGGATACCTGTTAAAAAAGCATTGGCACAACATTATCATCCATAACTGCGACTTTAGGGTCAAACAGCACTTATTTATCACTTATTGTTTATTATTCATCAAAGCACCACTTGACAGGATGATAATAGAGATGATCCCGAAGCCATAATTGCAAATAAGAGTAATCAAGTGAAAGTGCTCAGCCATTGGAACGGGCTGCCCAGGGAAGGGGTGGATTCTCCGTCCCTGGAGGTGTTTAAGGACGGACTGGATGTGGCATCAGTGCCATGGGCTCGGAACCACGGCGGGGTTGGATCAAGGGTTGGACTTGATGATCTCGGAGGTCTTTTCCAACCCGGTTGATTCTATGATTCTGTGATAATTGCAAATAAGTTTCCAATGGCACATAAGTTTCTAACTGCCAGCACCATCACGATCTTGGTTCCATTGCACCTGGCATTTAATTTATTACTCATAAAAGATGCCACTGGTGTTCGTCTGGTGGAAGGTGTCCCTGCCCATGGCAGGGGGGTTGGACTGCATGGTCTTTATGGGCCCTTCCAACCCAAACCATCCTGGCATTCTGTGATAAGGTCACCTAGAGGGCCGTGTTCAGCTGACACTGAGGCTCTAACTCAGCTCAAGGCGTGGCTGTCCCGATTTCCCCGCAGGGTGTCCGAGTTCAGCTGCCACATCTCCGGGTGCTGCCAGGTGTTTGACACGCTGGAGGGCTACGAGCACCACTACAACACCCTGCACAGGAACGTCTGCTCCTTCTGCAAGCGCTCCTTTCCCTCAGGGAACCTCCTGGATATCCACATCTTGGAGTGGCACGACTCGCTCTTCCAGATCATGGCCGAGAAGCAGAACATGGTGAGTTGCCGTGCCCAGCCCTGGGCTCAGGGCTGGAGTGCACTTGTCCCTTCCAGTTAGGTCTTTTTTCCCCCTCCTTGCCTTTCAGTACAAGTGTTTGGTGGAAGGCTGCCCGGAGAAGTTCAAGAGCAGCAAGGACAGAAAGGATCACTTGGTGACTGTGCACCTTTACCCTGCTGACTTTCGGTTTGATAGACCCAAGAAAGTGAAAAGGTAACTGCAGAACTTTCCTCCTCTCCTATGAGGAAAGGCTGGGAGAGTTGGGATTGTTCAGCCTGGAGAAGAGAAGCTTTGGGGTGACCTAATTGTGGCTTTCCAGGGCCTGAAGGGAGCCTGCAAGAAACATGGAGAGAGACTATTTCCAAGAGCCTGGAGTGCCAGGACAAGGGGGAATGGCTTCAAAATGAAATAGAGGAGGTTTAGATGGGATATTGGGAAGAAATTGTTCCCTATGAGGGTGGTGAGGCCCTGGCACAGGTTGCCCAGAGAAGCTGTGGCTGCCCCTGGATCCCTGGAAGTGTCCAGGGCCAGGTTGGATGGGGCTCTGAGCAACCTGGGCTAGTGGAAGGTGTCCCTGCCCATGGCAGAGGGTGGAACTGGATGAGCTTTAAGGTCCCTTCCAACCCAAACCATTCTGTGGTTCTAAGTGAAATGTGTCCTGCTCCCAATACTTGAGGGAGCAGCAGGCTGAGGATGGGAGAGCAGAGTGGTTTGGCCAGCCAGGGATGAAAAGGTAACGGTCACCTGTGGCATCAGTAGGTCAGCTAAAGGACAGTCCTCAGGGAATTGATCCTGTGGAATGAGTTGGGCTTTTTGGAGTGAAGAGAAGGACCTGGGGAGAGAGCTGTGTGTATTCATTAAGTAATGGATACTTAAACAGAAACTCACACAAGCCCCTCTCTCTGGAGCCGAATCCCTGTGCCTCCGTGCACTAACTCATCCCAGCTGGATTTGTTTCCTCATGAAATATCCTTGGCTCTGGGCTTACGTGGCAGCCACTGAGCCAGGATGTAAAACTGTGTCCCTGCAGTGTCCCCAAGCACACGAGCTGTCCCGCGGAGCAGGGCCCCAGCGTGCCCATGGAGGTGAGCGTGGAGACGGCGGAGCAATTCCAGCTGGACCCCATGGAAACAGGGCCTGCTGAGGACATGGAGATCCCTCAGCCTGCAGCCAGCCCTGGCCCCTCGCTGCCAGAGAAACGGCTCTACAGATCCAGGTCTGTGCTTTGGCCTCCACGGGCCAGAGAGTCTTACCAGCCCTTGGCAGTGCTCAGTGTGTTCCTGTGCTGAAGATAAAAGAGGCAGGAATTCCATGCGTGTTTTCAAAGGCATTTTTAAAAGAGGAAAGTGTGGAAGGGCAGAAGAGGCCACTGCAGTGTTGGCAAGGTCCTGTTAGTCTGCCCACCCAGGATCTCTTCCCGGGGTATTGCAGGATGGTGCTTCTGCTCTCCTGCTCCTCACAATCAACCACTGCAACTGCCCAGTTACTACCTTTGGTAACACTTACACGTGGTTGGAAAAAGGGGAGAGGCCTCCAGAACAGGAATATGTGGAATACACAGGAAAGCCAACCAGGATTTCACCCATTTTTTTATTACTTTGTTCATTTAGATGTTCTGCTCTTTCCACTCTGGGAGCTTAAAATGCCACACAGAGCATCGCCATGAGGGATAGGCTATTAATGTGAATCAAAGTCTGTCTCCCTTTCCAGGATCCCATCCACAATTTGCTTTGGACAAGGTGCCACCCGAGGATTTAAAGGACCAAGGAAGAAAGTCTGAAGGTCAGTGCAGCAGATTTGTGCAGGGTGAGCAGATGTGGGGCCGGTGCCGCCCACGCCGTGGCCGAGCAGGGATATTTCCAGTTCCCACTCCACACTGGGAATAAGCCACCCAAACCAATTAAAGCTCCACCAGCATTTGAACATGGGTTCGTGATGTCAGATGGAATTGGGCCAACCTGACTGAGTTCAAGATTTTAGAAAGGGGAACTCAAAATGTGTGGCGAGGTGTTAAGGAAACTGTCCTGCAGCTGAGACTGCACAGGATTGGGTGTTTTATTTTTTTGCCTTTTGGAGGAAAAAACCAGATTCAAGAAATTCCAAGACAAAATCTGCTGACTGCATGGAAGCTGTGAAAAAAGAAAACAGGGCAAAAAAGGTGTTGGTCCTTAATTCTGACCTTCTCCATCTTGCTGAAGTCTCCTCTGCACCCTGGATCTCGCTGTGGAACCCACAAGAAAGGTCTGTCTGGCCCAGGAGAAACATTTCCACGGGGAGTTAAAATAAAGTGACTTCAGCCAGGTGAATAAATAAAAGGAATTTTTATAAAATTGCTTCATAGAGAGTTTAAATGGCATTTTGAAGGCAGAGTCAGATGTGCAAAATGGACCTCCCTCCTTTTGCTCCCAATACCCCCAAAATCAGGTTGGGATGGGAGTTTTCCCTCTTGCCTCTCCCTTCCTTTGTAATCTCGTCCTCCTGGGAAAAATTAAAAACACAGAGCCAGGCTCAGAGTGCTGCCACTGGTCTCGGGGTCCTGGTGAACCCTGACACTCAAAATTTATCCATAAAGGGAAAAAAAGAGGTTGCTGGGACGATGTTTATCCAAGAAGCTTAGGATCTATAATTGCATTTTTTCCCTTCCCCCTCTGTATGAGGAATAGAGGATAAAAGGGGCTTTGGAAAATCCTTGCAAATGGGAGCAGGGAATGATGTTTACGGAGATGCAGGAGATTTCCCAGTGAGTTTTAAAAAGCTTCGCTCTGTTTAAAACTCAGCCGGCTTGTCCAGCCTTAATCCCTGCTCCTGGAGTGCTGTCTCCAGCAGGCAAGGATCCCATATCTGCCCAGGGACATCTTTCAGCAGGGACCAAAAATCACTTTCCCACACCGGGAGCCCCTAATGAGGGTTTTTTTCCCCCCACTGGGGTATCTGGGAATGGGACTCAGGCCCCACGTCACTGGAGATGCCTGCAGGCTTTGGCACGTGATGGTACAAAGGTCAGGCAGGAGCAGCCCAACCCTCCCTTACGGGTTCAGGTCCACAAATTTTGACCTGGGCATTCCTTTTTCCCCCTGAGTGCCTGCCCTTGCTAATGGAAAACAAACTGAACTTGCAATTACAGCTGCAGGGCTCGTGACTGGTCTCTTCTGGGACACCTGCTTTTCCCAGAGTCCACGGACAATGAAGTCTGTCCCAGCTGGAAAAAATCCTCTCAAGCCAAAACTTGAATTTCCCTTTTTTTTTTTTTGTTTTAAACACACGCACAGAGCTGATCCATGCAGGGAAATGGGGTGTCACCCATCACAGCTGGGGAGAAGCTTTGGACTCGCTCACGCTTCTAATTTCTGAGGAGAAAAAGATGTGTTGGGAAACATTCTGGAGATGAAAGCCCCCAAATCACCTCTTTCACTCCTGTTGCAGGAGAGCTGAAGGCACTGGTGTGGTGGAGGTGGATGCCAGGATGGAGAAGCAAAGGGAAGGGTCACAGCTGAGCCGGGGACATGCAGGAACCAGGCAGCTGTGCCAGCAGAGAGGTCAGAGAGGGTCTCCCCTGCAGCTCCCCCAGAGCACGAGGGAGCAGCTCCAGGCCAGAGGCCACCACCTTTGTGGGACACCTGGGAGTCTCCCTGAGCAGCAGGAACTGGCACCACCCGGGGACACGAGGGACGGGCGGGCACGAGGCCGGGCAAAGTGCACAGCCAGGTGTGGTGAGAGGCAGCCATGGAGGGGTAGGTCCTGCCAGCCCCAGCGGGCACAGGGGGTGGGCAGGGTGGGTGCTGGGGGTCAGGGGGGAGCGGGGGGCACAGGAACTGGGTGCAGGGTGTGGGGCAGCACCGGCCACATGGCTCTTGCCACTGTGTCTCCTCTGCTTCAGCCCAAGGCTCTGCAGCATCACCGTCCTGCTGGGCACTGCCCTCCTCCTGCTGGCACCCAGCAGCACCCAGGTGAGCCACCCCTCTGCTTCACCCTCCTGCTGTCCCCTCTGATGAGCAGGCCCACCATGAGCGGTGCCACCCCCCTCTCTCCCTGCAGGCTCTGAGCAGCTCCGGGCGGAAGGGCCTGCCCACGGACCGGGATTTGGACAAGGAAATGTAAGAGGTGGATGTGCTCCCCACACCTTCAGGCTTGTAAAAGCCAACAGAGCAACACCCCAAAATGGAAAGCGTTTCAGGGGGGAATAAATTCCCCTTGGGCTTTGTGCCCCCTCAAAATTAAGAGGCTCCCAGCTCCACCTTCTCCCCCATATTGCCCAAACTCCCCAGGCATCTAGCCCCAGCTGGTTTCCCTATTCCTTTGGCTAAATTAGCCCATTTGCTCCCCAAGATACTAATTTCTGCTGCCTGGGGTGGGGGGGAAATCTTGCCAGGGTCCCTGACCTCTGATGGGGTGGAATTCCCCTGGGGCAGGGTGGTATTTAGCAACCTTTCCTCGCTGATTTTGCTCCCCTCTTCCAGCATCCCGGGTGTGGACGTGCTGGAGGAGTGGGAGCTCTCCGAAGAGGTGAAACCAGGTAGAAAGGCTGTGTCCAGAAGGGCCTGGCCCCCTCCACAAGTCCAGGTAGAGCCAGAGGAGGATCGAGATCACCTCCACCACCCCCAGGACGACGCCAGGAAGGTGGATGTCCGTGAGCCACCCCGGATGCTGTCCCTGCAGGTGCAGAATGGCCCAGAGGAGGACCGAGACCATCTCTACCACAGCTGAGTGCAGATGTGCCCAGACTGTGAAATGAGGGGTGGGAGCTACCCCTGGGGCTCCCTGGGGGGACTCATCCTTCCCTACCCACCCTTGAGGCCCCCCCAATAAACCCACTCCCCTCTCCAATGTCCTGGTGGGCTCCTCATTGCTGCCAGAAACCTGCTGCTAAGTACAGGGCCCTAAACCTGAGGGATCCCCCTGCTTGGGATTGCCCCAAGACCCCGAGCAGGGTGAGGATGATGCCCTGGGACGGGTGACTCAGTGCCACAGGCTGTCCCCTTCCCGGGGGACACACAGATCTCCATGAGTCTGCTCTTGCCCAGCCCAGCGTCAGAGAGCAGCGTGACAGAGTGGAGGGTCTCAGTGAACCCAAACCTTTCCCAGCTGAGGCAGGACCTCAGAGAAGGACACCCCATGTCCCAGCAGCACCTAGAAAATGTTTTAATAGCAAAGGCAGAGGTGGTCCCCACTGCTGGTTGTCACCCCAAGCATTGCTCGCCAATGGGTCCCAGTCCCCTCCACGGGGTAAGGCAGAGGGGCAGCAGGTGGCTGTGGGGACCTGCACCACTCTGGGGATCTGCACATGCCCGGGGAACTTGCACATCCCTGGGGACCTGCACATCCCTGGGGACTGCAGCTCCTTGGGCTCAGCTGTCGGTGAATTTTGCCTTGCGCTTCTCCACAAAGGCTGTCATCCCCTCTTTGCGGTCATCCTGGGAGGAGCAGAGAGGTGAGGTTTGGGGGGCTGTGGCAGCCCCACTATCCCCCCACCATGGGGCTGATCCCCCCCCCCACGGGGCAGATCCCTCTACTCACAGTGGCAAAGGTGGCGTAAAAGAGACGCTTCTCTGTCCTGTTCCCCTCTGTCAGCGTCGTCTCAAAGGCTGAGAGCAAGGGAGAAGTTGGGGAGACCCCTCTGCCTGGCCCCACAGCCCCCCCAAGGGGTTCCCAATTGGCCCCCCAGTCCCTACCAGCATTGACTGACTCCTTGGCCAGGGCAGCCACCAGCTTGGAGTTGCTGGCGATCTTCTCAGCGCAGGCGATGGCCGCGTCCAGCAGCTTCTCCACGGGGAACACCTTGCTGACCAGACCTAGGATGGGCAGTGGGAAGTGGGGGGTGGCTCCCTGCTGGCCCCTTGCAGTGCCAGGGCTGGCCCACGCCTCTACCTGCCTCCTTGGCCTCCGCTGCTGAAATCCGGTCCCCGGTGAGCACCATCTCCATGGCCAGCGACTTCCCCACCGCCCTGGTGAGCCGCTGCGTCCCGCCAGCACCTGGATGCATGTAGGGAAGGGGAAGGTCCAGAGAGGGATAGCTGGGTGTCCCCACTCCAGCCGGGATGGAACCCCCTGGCCGGTGCCCGCCGCTCACCTGGGATGGTTCCCAGCAGGATTTCGGGTTGCCCGAACTGCGCCTTCTCCCCGGCATAGATGATGTCGCACATCATGGCCAGCTCGCACCCGCCACCCAGCTGGGGCAGGGGAGGCACAGGGGGGTCAGGGGGTGGCACTGGGGGGTCAGGGGGTACAGGGAGAGGCGGGGGGCACTCACGGCGTAGCCATTGACAGCGGCGATGATGGGTTTACGGACCACGGAGACCTTGTCCCACCCGCCCAGGAAGGCGCCGTTGTAGCACTCCTGGAAGGTTTTATTCTGCATCTCCTTGATGTCCGCGCCGGCTGCAAAGGGAAGTGGGCTGGGACACCAACTCCTCCCCCGACCTTCCCCAAAATTTTGGGATGGGGAGAGGCGTCTTCGCCCTACCTGCAAAGGCTTTCTGGCTGCCGGTGAGGACGATGGCTCCCACCTGCGGGTCACTCTCCATGGCCTCCAGCGCCTGCCGCAGCTCGGCCATCAGCCCCTCGCAGAGCGCGTTCAGCGCCTGCGGACGGTTCAGCTGGATCAGCCCCACGTTCTTCTGCGCCCCCGTCTTCTGCACCAACAGGTACTGGAACGTGGACCCTGCCGCCGCCCCGGCACCGGCCCGTGAGCCCACCGGCTGCCGGGCACGGGGTGAGACCCCTGACAACCCCTGGCCAGGTCCGGCCGCCGCCCCGCGCTATATTAAGGCGACCTTCACGCCAGCGGTCACCGGCAGCCGGCGGGGACGTGTCCGCGGGTCTCGGCTCGGGGGAGCTGCCGGTGTCACCCTGCCCTGGGCAGGTGCAGCCCCGGGACCACCCTGTGCCGGGACGGCGAACCACCGGTACCGGGGCATGGCGCAGGCACCCTGGGACCTGCTGCACAGCCCAGGGACCGCGTGCCCGGTGCTGGGACCGTACACGGAGCAGGGACCCCGTCCTGGTGCGCAGCCCAGGGACCACGTGCAAGTTGCTGGACACACGCCCGGTGCTGGGACCGTGCCCGGTGCAGGGACCCGGTGCTCACCACCCCCTCCGGCCAAGCCCACCCCCGCCAGCCCCCGGTGTCATCCCCGTGCCCCGGTGCTCACCGGCGCTGCAGCCCCGCGTGCCGGCGGGGTTGCGGAGCGGCGGGGGGGGCCGTGCCCGGGGCAGCGCGGCGGCGGCGGGACGGAGGAGGGCTCGCAGCGCGGCGGCCATGGCGGAGCGCGGCAGAGCGGCCCCACCCACCGCGCCGGCCCCGCCCCTCCCGCCGTCGCCCATTGGCTGAGACGGCCCCGCCCCGCCGTTCGCCATCCCCATTGGCCGCGGCGGCGCCGCGGGGCGGGGCCGGGACCCCCGGTACCGCTGAGGGGGCACCGGGCCCGCCCCCAGCCCGGCGCGCGGGGGGTCCCGCCGGTAGCGCCGCCGAGCCGGGGGGGCCGGGCCGCGGGATTAGCGGGGCTTAGAGCCCCGGGGGGGAGCGCAGGGGGGATTCCCCCGCCGCCCCCCGCGCGTGGGGTGGGGGGTGTGCGGGGGGGCGCGGCGGGAGCGCGGCGGCGGCGGGAGCGCGGCCGGGGAGGAGCGGAGCGGAGCGAGCCGGCGGTGCCCCGGGCCCGGTGAGTACTCCGGGTGGGGAGGGCGGGGGGGGGTGAGTGTGCCCCGCGGACGGGTGTGCGCGGGTGTGCGGGAGCGTCTTCCACAGGGCTGTGCGGGAATGTGAAAGCATCATCCACAGGGATGTGCGGGAATGTGCGGGAGCGTCATCCACAGGGATGTGCGGGAATGTGAAAGCATCATCCACAGGGATGTGCGGGAATGTGCGGGAGCGTCATCCACAGGGATGTGCGGGAATGTGGAAGCATCATCCACAGGGATGTGCGGGAATGTGGAAGCATCATCCATAGGGATGTGCGGGAATGTGCGGGAGCATTATCCGTGTGGGTGTGCGAGAATGTAGAGGAACATCATCCACACGGCTGTGCGGGACCATCATCCACAGGGGCGTGCGGGAATGTGCGGGAGCATCATCCACAGGGGTGTGCGGGAATGTGCGGGAGCGTCTTCCACAGGGCTGTGCGGGAATGTGAAAGCATCATCTACAGGGCTGTGCGGGAATGTGAAAGCATCATCCACAGGGATGTGCGGGAATGTGCGGGACCATCATCCACAGGGGCGTGCGGGAATGTGCGGGAGCATCATCCACAGGGGTGTGCGCGGATGTGCAGGAGCATCATCGGCAGGGGTGTGCGGGAATGTACGGGAGCATCATCCACAGGGGTGCGCGGGAATGTGCGTGTGCGGGCGCGTGCGGGAGCACCATCCGCACGGGTCGGGGGGAGCATCGCCCACACGGGCGTGCGGGAGCGCGCGTGGCTGCGTGTGCAGGAGCATGTGCAGGAGCATCACCCACCCGGGCGGGGGGGAGCGCGTTTATGCAACCCGTGCGCTGCCGCGTGTGCGGTGACACGGGCGTGCGCGGCCCCGGCACCCGCGGGAGCGAGACGCGGCCAGGCGCGGCTGAGCGGCGGGGCTCTGCCTCCATCCCTCCCTCCGTCCCTGCGGCAGGTGCGGGATGCGGCGGAGCGCGGCGGCGTGCTGGGCGCTGGTGCTGTTGGCCGCCGCCTTCTGCGACACGGCGGCGGGCAAGGGCGGGCGCGGCGGCGCCCGGGGGGCGGCCCGCGGAGCGGCGCGGGGGGCGGCCCGCGCCCGGCCCAGGGCGGCCGTGCCCCGGTACGGCTCTGCCGGGGCCGCCCTGCGCGTGGCCGGGGCGGCGGCGGCGGGGGCGGCGGCCGGCGTGGCGGCGGGGGCGGCCCTGCGCCGGGCGCGGCTCTCCGGGGAGCTGCAGGCGGGGGACGGCGTCGAGTACCGCGACGGCAACTGGACGGCGGCCGCCAGCGCCTGGACCTCCGCCGCGCCCGCCGGGACCGCGCCGGGCCGGGCGCTGCCCTGGCTCTGCCCGCTGGCCGCGCTCCTCCGCCGCTGATGGATCCCGGGGGACCCGACCGTGCCCGGAGCACCCAGGACGCCGCGAGGACCGGGCGCCCCACCGGGGGCTGAGCCCCGCGCCCCGGGATAGCAGCAGCTCCTGGGGCTGTGCCCACCCACTGCCAGCGGGGCAGGACCCCCGCGGGAGCCCCTCCACCACCTCCCCCCATGCCGTGCCAAACCCCGCCGGCTCGGGCACCCCTTCGCACCGCGCCTCTGTCCCTGGCCTCGCGAGGACGAGGAGGCGACAATAAAGCTGGACAAAAGCAGGTGTGGCTGGATGTGGGACAAGGGGCTCTGGGCAGGACCTTGGGATGGCCACCGCCCGGCCCCCTGCCCACACAGGCTTTATTTCAGGATGGAGGTCCCTGAGCAGGCCAAGGCTACAGCAATGAAATGGCTCCCCAGGGATTTTGGCCCAGCCGGAGGCACCAGCTCTGCCCCAGGCCCCCTGGGGTGGGCACAGCTCCCCATGGAGTGACACCACAGGGCAACCTCAGCTGCCACCATCGGCATTCTGTCCCTCCGGCGCTTTGCCTGGAACCAGGAGCTGCCCCAGCAGAGCCACTTCAATCACACACCAGAGCTCCCCGTTGAGGTGTCCCCAGCCCCGTGGGGCACTGGGGTGTCCCCTGCCCGCACAGCTGCAGGCAGTGCCTCTCTCCCCCGGGACAGGTCTCAGTCCAGTGTCACCCTGCCCAGGCGTCCCGCTCGGAAGTCCCGCAGGAACTCATAGGCAGCGGCCGTGTAGTTGAGCATCGTCACGTTGACATTCCCTGGAGATGGCAGTGGGTGCAGAAGGAGGGTCAGCAGGGACCCCCAGATTCCCAGCCCTGTGCCCCAGAGCCCCCCAGGCACTCACCTGTGCCCGTCAGCACCGTCACCTTCTGCGTGCGGCCCTGGGCGAGGGCCACGTGCTTCAGCACGGGCTCGATGTGGTCGCAGGGCTCGCCCAGCCCGTAGCGCTGCACGTACCTGCCGGAGGGACAGCTCATCCCACACTCCCCACAGCCTTCCCGGGGATGGGGCCTCCACAGCCCTCCCGGGACCCCTCCCCGGCTCCCCTGCAGCTCACCCGAACTGCTGCTGCTTGTTCAGGGTGTACAGCAGGTAGTCAGCCATCATGTCCTCCCCCACCATGTGGTCATGGATGGCTCCTGGAAAAAAGGGTCAAGCCCCAGTTCCCCCAAGCCCTTGCTGAGCCCTGGCCAAGCCTCCTGCCATCCCTGTGGCACCCAGGGGCCCTGAGCAGCAGACTCCCACCCTGGCCTCAGGCACCAGGCCCGAGGCCACGTCTGGGGACTCCCCCCAGCCAGCCACGGCCTCCACCTCACCACACAGTGCCAGCTTCATGCCCGTCTCCACATCCCCCAGCTTCGGGGGCAGCACACCAGGGGTGTCCACCAGGTACATCAGGGGCTTCTCGCAGACCTGGGGGAGGCAGCGCTGGTAATTAGCACCATGGACTTCCACGTGGCTAATGAGCTGACGTTAAGGTCCTGCTGGAAAGGGGACCTGAGCAACCCTGAGATCAGTCTGTGGGCATCAAGGTCCAGGATGTGGGAGGCAGAGCCCACCCAGCCACTGTGCTGCAGGGACAGTACCTGGATCCTGGTCAGCACTGCCTTGGTGATGCCCGGCTCGGCCCCCACCACCGTGGCTTTCCCTGGGGGAAAAAGGGACATGGTTATGAAAGCAAGGGACACTGTGCCCCACCTCCTCCCCAAGCCCTAGCACCACAGAGAAATACCCTTCTTGAGGTGCAGCCTCCGCAAGGAGTTGATGAGCGAGGATTTGCCCACGTTGGGCACACCAATCACCAGGATGTTGAAGTCGGAGCTCTGGAAGCCAGGGAAACACGAGCAAGGAACGCTGGTTATCAGCCATCCACCCCAGCAGTGAGGGGCAGCAGCCACAGCCAGCATCCCCCAGGGTTTGCTGGCAGTTCTGGCACGTGCAGGAGCTGCCTCGTCCCTCGGCTGGAGAGGGAGGTGACCCTCCCTCTGCTCTGCACTGGGGTGGCCTCACCTCAAGCACTGTGGGCAGTTTTGGGAACCACAGTATGAAAAAGATTTAAAACAGAGAGTCCAAAGGAGGGATATGGGAATGGGGAAGGGCCTGGAGGGGCCACACAAGGAGGGGCTGAAGGCACTTGGTCTGTTCAGCTGGAGGAGACTGAGGTCAGACCTCATTGGGGTATGGAGCTTCTCTCTGGTGACCAGTGACAGGACCCAAGGAAATGGCTGGAGCTGTGTCAGGGCAGGGTCAGGTTGGATCTCAGGGAAAGGTTCTTCCCCCAGACCGTGGTGGGGCACTGAACAGGCTTCCCAGGGCAGTGGGCACGGCCCCAAGGCTGCCAGAGCTCAAGGAGTGTTTGGACAATGCCCTCAGGGACAGGGTGGGATTGCTGGGGTGTCGTGGGCAGGGCCAAGAGTTGTCCTGGATGATCCTTTGCGTCCCCTCCAGCTCAGGATATTCTGTGACTCTGTGTCTCACCTCGGCCCTGTGGTAGCGTGGGCCCTCAGCCACCAGCTGGGCAACCAGGGGGACGATCTGCAGGGAAACAGGGACAGGGGCTGGCACTCTGCAGCAGCCACAGACACTGTGCCAGGGGGCTGAGCAGAGGACTTGGGACAGCTGGAAAAGAGGATCACGCCGGAGCAGCCACCTGGGGCCCTGAAGGCTGGGAGCTCCCAGGGAGCAGGGCTGGGCTGCAGCCCCGTTACCTTCTTGACCCCGACATCGCGCTGGCAGTCGGTGAACACCACCTGCGGGCACCCCTGCTCCTTCAGCCGCTCCAACACCGCCTGCGGGGCACGGGAAGAGCCTCTGCTGTCACCTCCCTGTGCCGCCACCGCTGCCCCCACCCAGCCCAGCCCTGCCCCGGCGCTCACCGGCTGCCGGCGGGGATCAGCCAGGTCCATCTTGTTCAGCACCAGGACGTGCGGGCGGATGCCCAGAGCCTCCTTCAGCGCGGGGTTACGGCCCGACACCGGGATGTGGCAGTGCTAAGGGCAGCAACTGGAAACAGCCATGGGAGAGGGGGGACACGGGGCTGGGGAGGGAGAAGGCACGCTCTGGAGGGAGAAGAGGTGTCTGGAGAGGGACGAGGGGTGGTCTGGAGAGGGACGAGGAGTGGCTGGAGAGGGAGAAGGGGTGCTCTGGAGAGGGAGAAGAGATGCTCTGGAGAGGGAGAAGAGATGCTCTGGAGAGGGAGAAGGAGTGGCTGAAGGGGGACAAGGGGTGGCCTAGAGGGAGAAGAGGTGGCCTAGAGGGGGAAGAGTGGTCTAGAGGGAGAAAGGGTGGTCTAGAGGGAGAAGGGGTGCCCTAGAGGGAGAAGGAGTGACTGGGGAGGGAGAAGGGATGCTCTGGAGAGGGAGAAGGATTGCTCTGGAGGGAGAAGAGGTGGCTGGAGGGGGACAAGGGGTGGCCTAGAGGGAGGAGTGCTCTGGAGCGAGAAGGAGTGCTCTGGAGGGAGAAGGGGTGGTCTGGAGGGAGAAGGGGTGGTCTGGAGGGAGAAAAGGTGGCTGGAGAGGGAGAAAAGGTGGCTGGAGAGGGAGAAAAGGTGGCTGGAGAGGGAGAAAGGGTGGCTGGAGAGGGAGAAAGGGTGGCTGGAGAGGGAGAAAGGGTGGCTGGAGAGCGACAAGGGGTGTTCTGGAGGGAGAAGAATTGCTCCGGAAGGGGAGAAGGGGGTGAGGGAGATTTTTTTTTTTTTTTTTTTTTAAAGCGGGTGCGGAGGATATCCGAGCGTCGTGCACCTCCACCAGGCAGTCAGCGCGGCGCAGCGCCGCCTGCATCTGCCGCAGCCCTGCAACAACAACAACAGCAACAACAAAACAGCGCCGGGGTGAGCTCGCCCCTCTGTCCGTGCGTGTGTGTGCGAGGAGGGCTCAACCCACCACCTCACCTTTCGCCATGTGCCGCGGGAACCAAGAGGCCACATCGCGGCCGCCGAAGTCGAAGCGCTCCCGGAACGCCCCGGCCGCCCTCAGCGGCCCTGCCCACACCCTCATGGCCTCCGGCGCGTCACTTCCGGCGCGACACCGGAAGGGGCGGGACTCGCAGCCATGGCGGAAACGCAGCCTCAGGGGGGCCCGGGAGGCTCGGCGGCATCTCCCGGTGGCCCCGGCACCCCCGGCGCCCCCGGTTCTGCTCCTCAACCCGGTGCGACCGCCTCTACCCCTCAGCCCGCCCCGCAGCCCGGCCCGGCGCAGGACCCGCTGGACGACCCGCGCTACACCATCTCCAGCACCAACTGGTATTAAAAACCAACACCGCAGCCCCTTCGCCAGGAGGAGGATTAGGATTGGAAGAAAAGCCTCCGCGGGCGCTGGCGGCTTCTTAATAAAAAAAAGGAGACCGAGCGGCACAAAAAGGCAGCAGCGAAGCAGCGGGCGCGTTTATTTGGCCGCCCCCCCCTCAGGGCTGAGGAGGAGGAGGGATGGGAGGCTGGAGGAGGTGGTTGAGCCGCTCGGCCTCCCGCCAGCCCGAGAGCAGCGCGCCGTGGGTGGTGGAGTAGAAGGTGCGGTGCGTGGCCTCGCCGGCGAAGAGGAGCTGCAGGGGCTGCGGGCGGGGCGGATGGTGAGCCGAGCCGTGACAACCCGGCCTCGCCCCCCCCGAGCCACCGGGGGGGCATCGCCGCGGAGACACCGGCGAGCGAGTGCTCTCCCTTCCCCAAACTTTAGGGAAGTGGGGTTGCCCCCACCGCCGTGGAGCTCGGCAGGTGAACACCCCCCCAAAGGGTGGGAGCGGTGCCGCTTCCCTGCGCTGCTGGAGGTGCCCTGTCCCCCCGCCCCGCTGCATCCCCTGTATCCTCACCCGGGGGTCCTGGGGGTCCTCGGGCAGGGGCTGTGCCAGCACGTCGATGTCGTCCCCGGAGCTGCCGACGGCCACGTAGCTGTAGGAGCCGCGGGTGTAGGGAGCGCTGTGCCAGCGGGACCGGAGCACGCTCCTGGGGGCCGGCAGGCTGGGGTTCCCTGCGGGGAGGGCATTCGGGGTGGGATCCCGAAAATTCCCCGGGGGTTGGGGCGGGCAGGGAGGGCGGGGGCGGCACCTGTGAGCCTGCGGAGGAGGCGGGTCATGGCGCTGAGCACCTCGGCGTCGCTCAGCGTCTCCATGTGCTCCGACTCCTTCCCCGCGATGAAGCCGCAGAGGACGTGCCCGTGCCTGGGCAGGGGACACAGAGCTCAGAGCTGCTGCTCGCTGGGGCTGTGGTGCCCTCCCTGCCCCACCTCATGGGCCACCAGCCACCCAGAGCAGGCCTGGGAGA